TATATATATATGTATGCATATGTAATATATACATATATATTTTGCCAACTAGTATAGTACAAGCTATTCTGAATTAACTCATCCAGAAGCTGGAGGTTAATGCTGGAGCCTAACTCAAGTCGATCCTTTGCATTTTGTGTCTCTCCCCCTCAGGCTGAAGCAAAGTTTGGGTGAGTTTGTGGCTTGCAAAGCACAGCTGTCCGGTGTCTTTTGAAGAATTGCACTTGGAGTTATTCAAGTTTCTGTAGTTCAAATACGTCTACCCTGCTTTTCCTGATGCTCCTGCATGTACTAGCGTAACTCAAAAAAACTGACCACAGTGTAACTGTGTAAAAGTTGAACTTTTCCTCTGGAAAATGTAACCAGAGTTCAGCAGCTTCTTTGCAGGTGGGAACCAGAAAACAGCCTATTTGAAAGTAAAATAAATTAAAAAAAGAAGTGAAACTTCTCAGAATATTTCAAAATGCAGCGTGGATTTAGGTAAGGCTGTAATGGACAGTTTAATTTGACACATTCATCGAGGAGGTACTTCCATCAGTCCTACTAGCTCCACTGCCTCTGCTGACATTGAGCAGGAAAGTTGCTTCATCTCTGTTTCTGCCCTCATGGAAAACTGAGCCACTCTTACTGCCTTCTAGGCAGGACTGGTTTTGCAGATCCATATATGAGTTAATGTTTGCATGGGTCTGAGAAGATGCCAAGTGCCACAAGGCCTTATTCTACCACCTAGAAATCCCACCCACCTCCAGGAAGCAAATATTTCCTCCCAAGGGCATTTGCTGCTCTTTAATACTATTAGTTCTGCTGGGTAGGAAATCCCAGAGGACAAGTGTCATTTTAAGGCAAGACATCTGTACATCTGCATACTTCTGAACTGCAGATTATATCTAATGCACCAGCCTGTTACCAACTGGGCTACAGGACAAGCGACTTGGCAAGATGCTCAGTTGTGAGTGATGATTTAAACAGCCTTTTACTTTTCAAATACATTTCACGGCAGGGGTATGGACACTCCTAACTCCTAACAGTTTCCTGGATGGAAATTAATGTCTGTCCCTACTGCTGCTCAGCCGCCCTTCTCCTGCTCCTTTCCTAAAGGTCTTATCTCCAGCACCCAAAACCGTTTAGGGCTGTTTGCTCAGTGTTTGCTCGTGTCTCAGTGCTGATCCGAAAGCTGCTAAAGAGCTGGGTGCCACTCAGCTTTGGCTCTGGGGTGGGTTTTTTTGCATGCAGGAGTCTGGATTCTCCATCCTCGCCAGGTATGACCCGCTCACACCACAGCACTGGAGATGCGCATCATCTGATAGCCACCAGGCACAGTACCCAAGCCATCCTCCACCCCAGAGTATTTATTTAATAATGATAATATAATAAAAAGCTCATTACAAAACCTAGGAGTACTACAAATATTTCCAGTGTTTCTTTTAAAAACAAAATTGTTCTGCTGCTGTGTTTATAATCCAACTGCTGCTGTGTTGGATTTAGCATACAAGAACTTAACAGCAAAACTGATTTTTTTTTTGGAAGCTTTCTACTTTGTGCAGCTTCTGGAAAAACTGGAGCTGTAAAGTCACGTCAGTGAGAATCCAAGCGTAATCTGTAACAAAAGTAAGGCAATTTCGTGTTTTTTTTAAAAAAGGGACTTCAAGCTGAAAATGTCCACTTAACTGCCAGTAGATGGCAAAAGTATCCCGTATTTGTCTTCATTACCTAAAATGATTAGTACAAAAGGCTTAATGTGTCATTCTCTCCCTTGCTTCTCATAGAAACTTGCAGAAAATATAAATTAAAGTGCAACTGTACAAAAAAACCTAGCAAAAAACCTCAACGGGTCATAAGAAGCTATCAAAAAGATGGATTAATTTTTTTTTAAAGTTGAATGAACGCATACCTGGGACCCGCAATGTTGCTCAAGTTCTCCTTTGCTTTGTTTCTTAAAATAAAACAAAAAAAACCCAAGGAAAAAAAAACCACCCAGGATATTTTTGGCAAAGTTTTCATAAAGCATTTGTTCCTTGACTGATTAGACTATTACGCTCCTTCACAATCAAGTAAATTGATTAAATAGCCAAGCAGATGCCAACGCTGCCCATTAGATTAAGCCTACGTAATAAAAAATAATAATTCTTTTAAACAAAGAAGTCACACATGCATTAGAGTTTACCCTTGAATAACAAGAATTTAACCTTAAAAATCCCTGTAGTTTGTCTTAAAAAATAAAATCCTATCTTTCAGGTAGCCAGTAGTAAAGAAACAGTAAAACTCTGAATTCAGATATCCCTGCCTTATCAGCGGAGTGATGAAGGTCACAGTCCAGTGAGCAGCAGTGGGACAGGAGAGCCTTTCCACATGAAAAGTGAGTCTCCAGGGGCGCGAAGCTGTGAGCAGGGAAGGCAGGGAAGGCAGATTTGGCAGCGATTTTAGGGTGCTGACAGCGGGCAAAGGCTTGCTATGGGAAAGGCGAGAGGTAAATGCTTCGGAGCCATGCGATGCTGCTGGCTCTCGCCCAGCAGTGATGTTCCCCACCCTTGGGCGAAGTGCAGGTGAAGCGCTGGGTTTTCGGGTGGCTCACTGGCATCCTGCTTTCTGCTGGTGGCTCATCCGAATCCTGTTTGGGATTCGGCCCTGGAGTTGGCAGCGAGGCAGGGGAGGGTGACTGTGTTGGAGGGGGGTGTCGATTAAGGGCTGGAAAAAAGGCAAGCAGCCTTCACCTTTGAACGTGGTAAGCAGGTCAGTGCTGTCCGGGGCTCTCAGGAGGAGGAAATAAAGCATCTTATGGGACACTCCTCTGCAAAGACTGGACACATGGAGGCTTTCCTACGGCACATTTGCAACAGGACCTTTGCACATCCCACCTTCCCTCCCCATCTTTAGCAGGGAAAAAAACGGAGGGGACGGATGGCATATTGCACTAGTGCAGAATCATCTAAGCAGCTGCTAGTTTTAGGAGGAAAGTGTTACCAGAGGCCGGCAGCTCTGGTGGCTCCTGGATGCAAATGCCGCAGAGCTACTTCATTATCCCTCCTCTCCATTTCGCATAGCTCCTGGTCGACCCCTCTGACCTGGCTCAGCCCATCCTGCCCCTGCTCTGCACAGCAAAGGGGATACAACATCAACCTCACTGCAGCTACCTACATTGCAGAAAGCTTGGCCACAGCTGCATTAACTCAGGATGAACCAGGGGGGAGGTGTTTTCCAAAAACTCAGTGATACATTTACTATTTTACAGCCATGCCAACATTTGCCATTCTGTTCACTAGGAAAAAAAGGGTATTGGATACATTTCACCACGGTATAACGAGTGAAATAAAGTTGTTATTAATTTCCTCAGTGCCTTGTTAGAGGGGAGTAAGTTTTGGGTGTGGAATTGGCTCTGTGTCACAGGCTATGGAGCTGTGAGGGGCGGCGGCGGCGGAGGAACGAAGCAGAAGAAACAAGGAACAGACAAGTCGGACCAGATCCTCACAGTGCAATACCTTGTGCGGAGGGACCGGTGCCTCGGTGTTGCCCATCAGCGAGCCAGGGCCATGATCAAGCTGGCACACATCTCGAAGAAGTCCATGGTGTGGCTCCCCAGGCGCGGCGTCACCGAGGGGATGCTGCCAACAAAGGAGCCGCTCAGAGAGCCCATCAGTGACTGGCACTCAGCAGCTGCAGCGGCATCGATGCTCAGCCTTGGCCGGTGCAAGCCAGCAGCGGAGCAGGAGCGCTGCGGTGTGGACGAGCCGGACCTCTGCTCCATCACGTCATCTTGAATATAAAAAAAAAAAAAAAAGAAAAAGTAGCATTCGTGGTGGCATCTGCAATGCATGTTTGGTAAGGAACTAGTAACAGCAGTGGAGACAAATGGATCAAAAGGGCTTTCGCTGACTTGAAACAACTGCATAAGCATTTCGAAATGCAAAGAACAATTTAAAAAATTTTTTTTAAACTTCCAGACTTGCCATTTTATGTGTTTCACATCTCGCCTTGCACCATTTCCTGCTTACCATCGATGCTTTTGAAGTCCAAGAGATAGCTGCGGTTGTCAACCTGGTAGAGCTGCAGGCTCATCTTCACATAATTGCCCGTCACCGGGTTCTTGCGGCGCACTCTGAGGTGGTAGGAGTTCACCACCTGCAACAGGAAATTTTCTTTCAGGAGTAAGACTCAAGGTAGCAAGAACGTTTCTTTCTTTATTTTTTTCTAAATACTAGGCAGACATCTTCTGAGAAAAACACAGTTTCTAGAAAGAACAATGCCTATAAAATTAAGCAAATGGCTTCATATCCTATTTCCTCCTACGTTCAAAATGCTTCTTAGGGCTCTGATTCACCAGCTGCAGGCAGATGAAGCTGCCATCACCTGTCTGTCAGGCACCAAACTGACACTTGCTCTTCCCTCACCAGCAGCAATGGCCATGAGCCAAGAAGTCCACTCGTGGACCCGCATATGAGGACTGTGCCCAGGAAACCAGGGCAGGCTGGGAAGCTGGGGAGTGTAACCTCTCCCATCGGAGCAGCTAAATTCAGTGTTTGTGAATCAGCCTCGAGCTGTGTATTCTCTCTTGCCGCTTCCCACCCCACAATCTGCTGTATCTCATTTGCAATGAGACCTTTTCTCTGGGCTATATTTATGAAGCAATTTATGAAGCATGGATGGGAAAGTTATTTTGATGAAGAGTCATATCTGAAGTTATTCTTAGGGTGGGAAAGACTATTGTGAAACCTCCTCCTACAAAATAAGCTCCACTGCCTACATGAAGACGCTGGGCTGACTTGGTTTGTGAAGCTGTACCAGAAATACATCAGGTTTGTTCACTCTTTGTAAAACCATGCAGCTAACAAATGTCTGGCTGGTGTAGGCATATGCATCTGGAGACACTCCATCTCCTGGCTGGTGCAGTGAAATCAGGTTTCCGGGTGCTACCTTGCTTTAAATACGTAATATTATCAAAAATAAGGAGGAGATAGGAGGCTTTGAAGAAGCAGCACAGTGACATTCACACTGTACAACCCTTGGGACCTGGAGCAAGGAGGGTATCTCCTCTGGTGATGAAATTCTCAGCCTCTGGGCTGAAATTCTCCTTACCTTGCTCCCAATGCTCACACGATACTGTTGTGAAAGGCCATGAGTCAGGAGAGCTCATGTCAGTGACTGCACCGAGATTTAGGGAATCAGCCTCAGCAGAAAATATTAAGGGCTAACTTAGGGATTTATTAATCAGACTTTGAAAGGGATTATGACTAAATGCTGTGTAGCTCTGAACAAAAATCTGAAGCGAGTACTGTCAACTAACATGTCATCTGGGTTTAAATCAAACTTCAAGAAGCTGAGCCCTCAACCAGGGAAGCAGTAAGTGTCTGAAAGCACATCTGGGTCACAAGCACTGCTGCATCTCCATTGAGGAAAATGCTACCACATCAGTGGTACAAACTCCTGCCCTCAACACCCCCCCACCCCTCACCTGTGCATCTTTTAAGAAGATGCATATCGTGTCATTTCAGCACACGACTGCTAGGACCCAAGCAGAAATAACAAGAATTCCTTTGCTCAGGAGCATTCGAGATGACATCACAAGGAATTAGCCACTAAAATTAGAAATGTGACCAGCTACTCTTATCCCCGCAGCTAAATGAAGCAGAATCATCTTTCCAATCAGAGGCTTAGAGCATTCAGAAAGAAAACTCTTATTTCATGCCATAAATAAACACCCCTGATATTGAACCACAGCTAGCATCTCAATTCAGCGTGTTTGTATTAATGAGAAATAACACGGATGATCACAAAGTGTGGGCATTTATTTGGAAACAGGTCAGGCTGTAACCATACTTATTAACCTCCCTGAGCAATTCAGCTCATGAGAAAAAGACCCCATGAAGCACCAGCACTCCCTACCTTCCACTCGAAGTCCAGCTGTTTCATAGCGCGGTACACCTCGGCCATAATGTCATAGGGTTTGCTCTGGCTGCGGATTCCCAGGTGCCACTTGGCCTTTTTGACAGTCAGGGGTTTTGGCTTCGTGGTGTTGAGGGCATCCAAAGGACATCGTGCTTTGGGGCTGTCTGCTATCAATGGCGGCATCCGCTCAGGGTGCGGCTTCACCCCAGGAGGGATGTGCATAGTGCTGTCATCCATGAAGGAGCCAGTGGGGGGACTGGAGGCGAGGTAGAACTCACTGGCTTGGTTCATGATCCTCCGGTTGTCAATGACGAGGTGGTAAGCCACCGCCAGCTGGTCCTGAGGGTCACCACTGTACAGGCTGTTCATCACTTCCGACTCCGTGCATTCAAACTTTTCACAAACTTCCCGAACCGCGTCATCGTCGATGACAGTGGCATCATAAGAAGGGTCCTCTGGGAACAGGTAACTGGGCAGCTCCTCCTTAAACCACTCGTGTTCCCTGAGGAAAGGCAAAGAGGAGCTGCCATGAACTCTCTGCAAGGCAAGCTGGGGCAACCACTGCCACCAGTCCCTTGGTCTAGCTAGGACTAATCCTCACCTGCAGATTGGGGAGCTCAACCCAGCCCTGCACGGTCCCCAAAGTATTGCAACAGTGATGACACTTGCAAGCATGGCTGCTTGCTTACTCAGCTTTGAAGAAAGACCTCAGCACTTACTGAGGTGCTCAGACTTTTTGATCACTATGGGTCTGATAGAGATACAGAGCATCAAAGCTATCCAGGTACCTGACTGCCACTGATTAGCAAGCAAGTCAATGATAATTAAGTGGCTAAATGCCATAGAGAGGCTTGTCTGTAGGTTCTACGTATCAGCTGTAATCTTGCCACATGTGCTGCTGCTCTAACATGTAATTAAATCCTCTAGTCTTAAGGACTTAAGAAATAAAAAGGCATTTTACTTGAAGGGTAAAATTAAGGCTATCCATTGCAAATGCATTAAAAACCTGAGAACTCCTGAAAGTCCCAGTAACATTTATTTACATATATGCTTAGCACACCACCTAGATGTAATGATTACTATAAATGTCATAAAATGCATATTGGGCTCCAGTTTTACAAAGCGTTTCTAAAATGGCTGAGATTGTGAGAATTGTGAAGTCCTACTACCAGCCATGAACTTTTAATGATCTCTGCAGGCACAAATATCTGCTTAAGAGCCCAGTTGTTCCCTTTACCTTGAATTTCAGTGACGCATGCAGATAAAAGGTTCACTGCACTGCACTCATTGACTAGACAAGAAAACTGTGCTGTATTTAAAGATGAACCATTTGCTCACATTTTAAACTATATCTGACATTTATGGATTAAGTTAGTAATTCTTGTGTTTCTCCTCCTTTTTTATTGGATAGACACTAAGTACAATTATTACCTCTTATTCTGGACTGGTACCCAGAGAGAGGTGGTCTTGAAATAAAGTAATGAAAAATGGCTGGTGGATATTAAGTTCTTAGGATTATTGCATGATATAGCTGTTTTTGCTAAGCGCTATTAAGAGATTTTTGAGGCTATTTTATAATGCAGTAAAACAGTATTTTATATATATACATATTATATATAAAATCGTCACCCTATTCATTGTCACCCACCACCAGCCGGCAGCACCCACCTCTCCATCAGCACAGAAAGGTGCAGGAGAGCTCCTTGAATCACTTGGGATGAAAACCAGCTGGATTAGCTGACTACTCCTGTAAACCACCCTGCCCACCTGCCAGCAGGTGACCCCCAGGACAGCCACCATCCTCTACCACTCTGGAGCCCCCTGAGCACAGCCAGCCCACCCCATCCCACCTGGGCTGACCTGATGTCCTTGATAGTTGCTCGCTTGAGGGGGTCAACCTGCAGCATGTGCATGAGGAGAGTGGCAACAGAGCGGTTGAGGTATTCAGGGATGTAAAACACACCTCCCCGGATCTTCTTGAAGAGGGTGGGGACGTGCTCATCATCGAAAGGCAGAGTGCCACAGAGAAGGGCGTAGAGGATAACACCACAGCTCCAGATGTCCACCTCTGGGCCAGCGTACAGCCTGCATGAAGGCAAGAGCAGGAGAAAGGTGTCACTCCTCCCCATCCTCCTCTCCTTAGTTAGGGTGCAGGTCCCACTGTGCAAGCTGGGGATCTGCTGCCAGCTCCACCAGGGCCAGAGCTGCAGCCCACCCTTGGACTGCTCACGCAGATGCCCCCAGCCAAACCCGCCTAAGCCAAAATCACTCAGGGGAGAGGAGAAATGACATGGCAGAGCTGGTGCTGGCTGCCCACGCTCCTCTAGATGACTGTGAATATCCCTGCCTCCACCAGACCCTCCAAAAAGCCAAACCCCGCATTTCTAAGAGCTCTGCCAGGCTGTTTGCTCCTTTGCCCCAAGGGCTCAGCCAGCAATTTCTGTTCATTCAACGAGGCAGATTAAACAGCAGCAGCTACTGTATCTCTGAGTGTTTATTTTCGGTTGAAGTTTGTGTGCTGGTATGCAAGTGCTCCCACTTCCGACAAGCTGCTAATGTGCTCCCTGGCATCACCAAGTTGGGACACCTCAAATATATGGGTTTTCCTGCTGCCTGCTTGCTCGATTTGTTTATCTCCTTTTGCTACAGCTGATGCTTTCTCAGAGATTTTGGGAGGCAGTGCTTACCCTCGGGCTATAAAATCCTACCAAAATACAGAGGTTGAAATGGAAATACAGAAGTCTCTGCATGAAACCTCGTCATCCTGCACTTGCTGCTCCTCCCGAAAAGCACCATTGCAGACACACTGGTGTACAAAAAGCACCAGTCATGCATGTGGTCATTCTCTGAACACTACCCAGACACCGGCTGTTTGTCCAAGGGTGAGACTTTCCTTACTGAGGCCAGGGACAGCAGCAAAGTCATTTTGGAAATGGGGACAATTAGCTAGACGCCCCCTTGGTCCTGCCTCCATGTCCGATTCCAACAGATAGGAAGCCTGATTTGTTTCGCTGATAACCGCATTGCTTGACCAGTTGATCGGACTTTTAAGCCCAAATGAGATGCACTTTTATGACTCTGAAACCTGAGCTGTCACGCTCTACTGCTGTTGTGCTCTACCCAGCAAAGGCAGCAGGAGCCGGGAACCAGCTCACCTCTGCCCTGCACACCCACCGGCAAGGCATTCATCCCGCTGCAGGAATAGCAGATCACGCCTCTCCCCGACAAATGCAGCTCTCATACACTGCTATAGCTTTGAGAAGAGGGCAGCTTGGCATATAATTCAGGGGTATGAAAATTGAGCTCACTGAAACTGTAAATGGTACTGATACGGGAGGGCTGCAGCAGTAGCCGGTGAAAAAGTGCAACATGTAGGTTTTGTTTTGTTTTTCTTTCTTACTTTTCTTGTTAATAAACTGTATTGCCTGTATTCTTTGAACAATCAGGCTCTGCATACTGGGACTGCAGGGACTTGTTAATCTGCCATGTGCCTTGTCTCCGATACAAACTGAAAAATAATGTACTTCTGGCCTTTATTGAAAAGGCCATGTAAATAATATTAATTTTTTTTTTAATCATGGTAGAGTTTCTGGCTTTGTCCCCCTCTTGACAATGAGGATTTACTTGCTTTCGCACGTAGAGCTGTAGTCACAACAAGGTGTTTGAATGCTGGTCTAATTCCTAGGATACTCTGCCAACACTTGCACTGGTGTAAACAGGGATAAAATAATCATAATCACAGCTGAGACACTTTGAACAAAGTATTGTATTTAAAAGCTACAGTTATAGGCAAACACACTGGATTAGGAAAACTAATGCTCATGCAAAGGGTGATTCAAAAATATGGGGCAGATAATGTGGAGATGGGCAGTTTGAAGGACCATACAGAGGACTGAAAATTTGAAAATCTGTATTTGCAATCCTTGTTATGCTATTCTAGAGAGAGTTACGGAACTAAGTTCATTCTAGGTAACTTAGTTTCTTGACAGTAAAATATAGGAGGTAACACTTCTGTATCAACATGGCAAAGTCCAACTCAATTTTGCAGAGTGCGTTCAACATAGAATCACAGAATCATAGAATGGTTTGGCTTGGAAGGGACTTTAAAGACCATCTAGTTCCAACCCCCCTGCTATGGGCAGGGACACCTTCTACTAGACCAGGTTGCTCAAAGCCCCATCCAAACTGGCCTTGAACACTTCGAGGGATGGGGCATCCACAACTTCTCTGGACAACCTGTTCCAGTGCCTTCACCACCCTCATAGTGAAGAATTTCTTCCTTATATCTAATCTAAATCTACCCTCTTTCAGTTTAAAGCCATTACCCTTTGCCCTATCACTACATACCCTTGTAAAACATGCCCTGTGTCATACAGATGTTGCATGCTGAGAGATGCAACCACACTGGAGGTTTGCCAATTCAATTCATCAATTGAAAACAAAGTTATGATTGTTGAACCTATTGTCACAAAAAAAAAAAACCACCCTAGCTTAAGGAACCAGAAGACAAGTACTTTAAATACAAGAGGTC